AGTTTATTATTAACATTCATAAAGTGTTCTTATTTAATAGTCCTATTATTGTAAACGGTGTTCAAACGGTTGATTATCGCTCCCGAGGAGATTTACAAGTTGTAACATCACGGCGGTGGTAGGTAACAGTTGTTAGCTGTACGTCTTGTCGGTGCAATAACTGTTTCCTTGTCGAGAAATTATACCTTGTAGCACATATTATTCACCTGTCTTTAATTAAGCGCAAAGCCGACAGTACACACTGTTGATCAAAAATAGAATGTTTATTTTTGAATGCGCTGACTGCTCTCTTTCAACCACTTATTAATACCTATGAGAATATCGTCGTTTTTTACTGTCAGGTAACGGGTTCATACAAAAAAAAAGTGCGAGTTCATCAGTTCGAGAGTTTGGTACAGTGATTTCCAAAATTTATTAAGTACTACTTTCTTTCATGCAATATGTTTCAAGGAAGCTGAAGGAAATATGTTTTCATACTTTCGGGTCCTTTTGAACACCCATTTTCAAATTTGGACTCCCAAAATTTTGATCTTTAAAGTGGTTCAAACAAAATGAACAAGTTAGGTTTTTGGTTAGTAATTTATCGAGAGTACTATACATATTTGAATCGTGATTTCGGATTAACCTATACATGTATTAGTTCTCAACAGCACACCACAATAAGAGTTTTGTCAAACATATAAAACACCGCAGTTGGCCGTAAATATCAGTAGATGGTATAGCTTGTACGCCACTGCTTTTGACAATGTTAAATGGGGCAACATGTTAAATATATAGACTATAATAACTGTATAAACAGCAACAGGCAGTTAAAGAGCTGGGGCTGCAACGTAGAAAAGTAAATATATGGAAGGGAGCCAGACAGGGATGCATACTGTCAGCGCTACTTTTTAATCTATACATCGAAGACGCGATCAACATCATTAAAGACAGTACAACTGTAGGAATAGATATACAAGGGTAAAAGATTAGTATGCTTAGATTTGCAGATGATATAGCTGTATTAGCATCTAGCAAGGGGGAGTTAGAGGTAGCTTTAAATAAAATGGAAGCGGTATTCACAAAAGAGTATTATATGAAAATAAACAAAAGTAAAACAAAAATTCTGGTATGCAAGGGAAGAAAAAGTAGGGAAAGAGCGAATATAAAGATAGGAGACGAAAAAGTGGCTAACTTAGGTATCTAGGAAGTCAGATAACTCAAGAAGGAAGGAGTAGCCTATAAAGCAGAGGACAGCGCAGGGTCGCCTTCAATAAAAAGAAGCCACTTCTATTCTCGCGAACGGTTAATTTAGAAATTCCAAAGAAGAAAGAATTAGAAGCGTTCCAAATGAGGTAACGAACGGTGAGGAAACCGTGGATAGAGAAGGTTGAAAATGAAGAGGTATTAGAAAAACTTGGAGAACAGAAGAATATATGTAAGTCAATAAGAAATCAGCGAGATACGTTGGTAGGACACCTTGTCAGACATGAAGGATGAGACATATTAGAAGCAGAAACAGGAGTTAGGAGGAGTAAAGGTAGACCTAGATTTGATTACTGTTAGAAAATAATTAGGAATGTGGGTTGTTCTAGTTTTAGGGAAATGCGAAGACTAGCTCAGGCTGTAACATTTATTGAACTTAACGTGCAGATGAGAACTAATATCCACATCTGGTGGTTCCTCCTACGTATTGCTTACAATTTTTCTGATGAACTTCTGCTGTAAAAACATCTAAAGAACCAACACACCTAATTTTTTTTCTGGCATGTTTTTTAGTATTTGTTTTACGACTTCAAACAAACATTTTCAGCAGGTTGATGTCATTTCTAGAATGCTTTCTTCCCTATAGCTGGTGACCCGGAAAGTTCATGTTATTTATATTCATTCATTTTTTTAGGACAACTGCTAAGAAAAACGTAGCGACAGATTTATTCGTGTAATTCACATAATAGCTCTCCATAATTTTGTTAAAAGCCCGTCTATTCCGTGTTCTACCTACCAACAATAAAAAAGCGCGCTGGTGACGGTTTTATTCGTGGAACGAGCGGCTTTCGTTTTTTATAATCCCGTTAAAAGATCCACAGTTTTATTTCGTGTATGGGCGCCGTAACATGTAATTAAGTTAAACGCTTTAGGGCGTGCTGAAAGCGAAATCTTTGTGGCCTTGTATTTATAGTGGTACTGTTTGTTTTTCCCGCCGCGCCGGACCTTCTATAGTCCGCCGTAATGTGCTAAAAATAGCTGCTAAACATCCCTATTTTACATTCACAATGTTCCACGCGATCCTAATACTAATTATTATATTTTACATACATTATGCTCAACCTACGGCGGACCATTACAATTTCGGTTCTTTAAAGGATTAAATTATAGGGTGATGCAGGACGTAAGGGAAATTTTGTTTTGTGTTTCGCTGCCGCCAGTTAAACATCTTTCAACAGCTGTAAAAAAATATGCTAATGTTAAAACGAGAAGAGGGCCATGTACTTAATTTTTTTCGGTTACAATTTAAACCGTTTCCTTCTTTCAGGAAAATTACTATTATTTATCAGGTTCGAAGATTGTTGGATTACAAGTAAGTGTAAATGTTACCGGAAATGTATGAAATCGGTCATTGTATACAATTCCTAGGAAATGTATGAAATCTAGGAAATGTATACAATTCCGAGGCTATTTACGAAGTCTATAAAATATTCTTTCAAAGATTTTTTTGATACATTCCTAGGAATTGTATGAAATTCCGATGTTGTACTAGGAAATGTATAAAACTATTGCTTCCTGTTATTTAGTAAACGTTAGAAAATTGAGAATCAAAGTTATCTGTGTTTACGTGTTTCTAGTCCGATACAATTCCTAGTTTTCATACATTTTCGATAGCATAAATAAATACATCAAGGATAAATATTCGATGATTGAATAATGTCGATGCGTTGCGTCTAGTAACGTTACGATATGAGCTCCTTTGTCAGATTTTCTAAAGTGAGTTTTTTTTGTTATACATTGTCAGTTGAATTGATGGAAATTCCTAAAAAGACATTTCATTGTCACTATGACATAGCAATATTTCTTTAATATAAATGCTCGAATGATCGCCTTCGAATAGTTGAGGACGTCTGCAAGTCTTTTGTTTAAAACTCGCATCGCATTACCATCACTATTTGATTATTACTTAGTAAAGGAGAAAGTTCGCGCGAAAATAATTCTCAACTGCTTGAAATTATTTGGCTCCGGCAGTTTCACATCATCATAGATACATTACATAATTTTATTTTAATTACGGATGCTTGTTTTCTCCCGATCTGCCAATATGATACAAATTATAACGATAATAATACCTAGGCACAATTAATTCAATTTTTTTGGACAACTGAGAATTCCAGCAGTTGTCTGGTTTTTAAATAAATGTAGGTATTTGTAGAATTATTGGATAAGATTAGTATTGTAAATCTATCTACTCAATTGTATTTCTGAAACAATATAATTATTTCAAAGTCAATAAACTTGAAATCGTCACTGTAAGGTTTTGAATCTTAACTGATTTTGGTTTTAATTAGACCACGTTTACGTTGTACAGCTCGGTAAGTAAATCGATAGTTTAGATCAATACTGTTAATTATGAATACCATATTAAGTCAGTGTATTGTGGTACCACCTTAAATGCATATTTGAGCAGCTACATACACATTCTATTTACGTACTTGAAATGGACAGTGTCGAATTTGAGAATTGCATTCGTCTTTTTCTTCTTGTGCTGTCACGTTCTGTTTACTTTTGCAATTTGGCTTAATATAATTCTCATGAGATCTCATGAGAACGAACGAACGACGGTTAAAATGTAAATGCATTCAATTGGTTTTTAAAGCCTTAAGTACTTATTAAATCAAGATAAATATAGTATCCTCACACATTTGCATTGTATTTTTAATATTTGCTCAAGTTTCAAAAGGATTCCTCATACTACAAGCGAATGTAAAATAAGAAAACAAAATAAATATGGAACTGGAAAATCAGAAGAGTTATCTCATCACCATAAGGTCGTCAGTCCTAAGAATGGTTGGACACGCACCTCTACTCTTTCCTACCGTGAGCTAATCTTCGCATTTTCCTAAAACTAGAACACCCCACATCCTTAACTATTTACGAATAGTAATCTAATCTAGGTCTACCTCTACCCCTCTTAACTCCCATTTCGGCTTTTAATATATATATTTTTTATGAATTCCATAGAGTCCTCTGTTCTCCTATTCGTTCTAATACCTCTTCATTTCTAATCTCCTCTATCCTCGGTATCCTTATCATTCGCCGGTAACAGCACATTTCGAATGCTTCCAATCTTTTCTTTTCCGCCGCGCCCACTGTCCATATTTCGCACCCGTATAGCGCCGCGCTCCAAACAAACACCTTTAACAATTTTTTTCGAATTTCTAAATTAACTGTTCGTGAACATAGAAGTGATTTCTTTCTATTGAAAGCGACCCGATCCTGCGGTATCCTCTGCTTCATATCCCTACTACTCCTTCCGTTCTGACTTATCTGACTTCCTAGATACGTAAAACAGTCACTTCTTATAATGTTTTGTCTTCTAACCTTATATTCGCTCTTTCCTAACTTTTTCTTCCCTTGCATACCAGTACTTTTGCTTTACTTTTATTTATTTTCATACAGTATTGTTTTATCATTCTTCTTCCATTTTATTTCATCTGCAAATCTTAGTATACTAATCTTTTCCCATGTATATTTATCCATCTACCAAAGAGTTATCTAATAAGATAAAAAATGAAAAGCAGACTTTCCAAAGTTAAGGCCCTATTTAATTAAAAAACCGAAGTATCTACCTATATTTGAAAGCAACTCAATCGCTTTTATTTAACTTTCTAAAGTAAATACTGTTTCCCTGAAAATGGAACCCGTTTTTTGAGGGTAAATCAATAATTCATTACATATTATGAATTCGAAATTCGCTTTTGAGAAAAAATTGCCGAACAGAAAATTTAATTAAAAACAGTTTTTTTACTCACCAGCAACTTGTAATGTCGCATTCCTACTGACCACTTGTCCCGCAACGTTCTTGGCCACACACCAATAAACACCACCATCTTGTTCTTTTTTACTGCTCACAGTTCTCAGAAAGAAAAGAGAACCGGAAGGTAAAAGCACACGGTGCGATTTGTTTTCCACAGGGGAAGTCCGTACCGGCTCACCGTCTTTGTACCATTCTATACTTGGCTCCGGCTTACCCTCTGCTTTACAATTAAGGGTAACTGGTTCGTTTTTCGCCACTATAATGTCTGAGGGGTGCTCTGTTATTCGGGGTGAACGATACTGACCTAGAACAAATGAACATTACGTTAGTATTTTTTCTGTTGCTTACACCTGATAACCATAGAGGCTAGAGATAAAAATAATAACTTAATCCGAAGCGAAGGGCCTAAAAAAGCATCAATTTCAAAGCATCAAGTGTCAAATCGGACGCTTACTATTTTACCATCGATCACAACTTACGATTAGTGACGCTGTTTTTGCTAATTACTAATTACATATCTGCTGGTAATTGGTTTCACGTTATCACGCGAATAAAGTAATGACGATACAGCAGTGATTACTCTAAATGAAATTCAAACTTGACAGTTACTTTCTGAATTAACCGTTGGCAGCCGTGTCGCCGAAATGGCGGCTTGCCGCCATTCAAATTTCCGATGGTACTAATAGTAATTCTTGGTTCGACATACGTTTTCATGCATATAAGGAATATGGACGGCTAGGTTTTTGTTGGTGGGTGTTTTACAAAGTAGACTCTAGGCGTTCCCAATGAATAAATAAGATTTCCATTATTTTTTTATGGGCAACACTCCGTTTTATGACAGTTGGCATTTGATACATTTGCATTTTCATTCAGAAAACAATTGCCTTTTAGCGATTAGTCTTTTATTGGCTACTTAAAATTCGTCCGGTGGACTGACGTTAAACAATTTGCATCGAAATGATTTGTTTCAAATCGTAAAATTGGTCCACCTCCTACTGATACAGAAACTGATCGTGGAAGAATTGCGATGCAGGTTAATACCCCGGTACATACCTTCCTCCTACAACAGTTCAGTTATGGTGAAATTTTATTGTTATTGTTTCAAAAACAAATTTAGAAGGAATAGTTAATACGCTTTCTCTTGAACACATAATATTCTGAAATTCCGTCTCCTATTTGATCCTTTAGCTTCTAAATATTTCTCGGAATGAGGCAATTTTATGACGTGTTTCTAACACTTTTTCGTTAACGTTGATTACAGAAAAGGATTTGAATTAGTCAACAGCAGTAAACGAAAAAGTATCAAAAAAGTTTACCGGAGTATACTAGTTATACGTATAATATAAAGTTTTACTGTCGTTCGCTACTTCGTAAAAACAAGGGAAATAACCGTTCAATTATGTTCTTATTAATAGCTCCCAGCTAATGAAAACTTAAGCAAGAGAATAGAGACAAGGAACGATAACGGCAACATAAAACTTCCCAAACAACTTTATTCCTTAATTCGGGCAACGATCTCGATACGATGAGAAAACGAAAGTGATTTCCTTCGGAGAAAGTTATAACCATTAACAGAACGAACTTAACGGTTTCTGACAGTAAAATAACGAATTGGTGAGTTATTCGTCAGTTTTATACGTACGATTAGTCCGAACTACCATTTTATGGTACAGAACGATAGGGGATGAGTACAATAAAAACTACACCTGATTATAGACGGATCCTAATGCTTCTGAAACATGAGACTTGTTTAAGAGAACGAATAATATTCAAGTATTTTTTTTTTAATTGAGTCCCGATTAAGGATTTTACTGAAAGAATCCCCATACATATATTGATGTGGACACAGGCACTTTTCATTTGATACCACTCATGGTCATATAACCAATGGTATCCGTTTCCAAAAGGAATGTATTCTTATTGGAGACGTTTTAAAATCGATTAACCAGGAACAGCACTCTTTTTTTAATAAAGATCAAATACCAAAACAGTAACTTGGTGTAAGCTATATTTTCGGATTGGTCGTGTAGGAGTCTGGATAGGTGTCAGGGTCGATACAGTACCTAAGCATTAGTATCCCTAGGATACCTCTACACGTGTTAGCCGAATGGCCAGATGTTGACCTTGAGATATTGGACAACCTATTTAGTGTTAAACCCTAGCACGAGGTGATCGCTGCAGGCATATCACATTTACCCCTAAAATTGAAGTTACTAAATTTGGAAATGATATTTGCGAAAGTGACCTCGCCCATAACACTTATCAAAGGTAACCGGGATAGCCCGGCCCATGTGAGAGTCCAAGATTAGGAGAAAGTGAACCTGAACTTGTTTACCACTGCCGGAGTGTAAGTAAATTGACTGGGTAGTAGGGGATTCGTCCTTCAACATCCGACCAATGGTGAGGACTGGTATTACAGGAAGACTTGGGGGCCCAGGTGGAAAATTTTCCTGCTTGCTAGCCATCTAAGGTTAGACTCGTAGTGGCAGCGGCTAAAGATGATTGTGAAAGTGACCTCACCCGTTACACTCTTTAAAGGGGACCGAGATAGCCCAGCCGATAAGAGAGCTAAGGATCAGGAGAAGATGACGAATCCATTTATCCGAAATCGTTTACCATTGTCGAAGTCCAAGTAAATTGACCGGATAGAGGATTCCTTCCTTAAAATCGATCAGCGGTGAATATTAGTACTGCAGGAAGACCTGAGGGCCCATCTTCCTGCTTACCCAGCTGTCTGCGGTTGGGCTCGTAGTGGTAGTGGTTGAAAATGTGACCTTGCCCATTACAATCACCAAAGGTAACTGGTGTAGCCAGGCCGATATGAGAGTCAAGGATTACGAGAAGATGGCGAGTCCATAAACTCGAAATGACGTACAATTGCCCCAGAGTCCAGGAAAATTGACTGGATTGGGGGAGTCGTCACTCAAAATGCAACCAGTTGTGAAGACTGTTATTGCGGGAAGACCTGGGGCTCCAGCTAGGAAGTTTTCCTGCTTGCACAGCTGTCTGCGGTTGGACTCGTAGTGACAGTGATTGAAGATATTTACAAATGTTACCTCACTCGTTACAATCAACAAAGGTGACCGACCAGCCCGGCCAATGTAAGATTCAAGGATCAGGAGAAGATGGCGAATCCATGAACTCGAAATGCCTTACCATTACCTCGGAATCCAAGAAAACTAACTAGATTGGGGGGATTACTCACTCAAAATCCGACCAGTTGCGAAGACCGTTACTGCAGGAAAATCCGAGGGTCAAACTTGGAAATTTTCCTCCTTGCCTAGTAGAGGTTAGATCGATGCTAGAGGGTTTTGCTCACCTCCTAGAAGTAACTGATAGCAGTGGATTCAACAACCGAGCGTATACCTCAAACTCTCACCCATGGAGGTGCCCCTAGCACCACAAGTAACGGTTATATGAATAAATAACAGTACGGGAAAGCTAAAAATGATGGAATGAGTATAGTGACTGCCTAAAATCACACTTGGATAGCTACAGTGGATCAGAGAGTGAGACAACCACTTGCTACATGACATGTAAGCAATGCTGACAAAAAATACATCGTAGAAACTAATTGATCCGTTAAGTAAACGTTTTTAATTTCTAATTAACTTCGAAAATACAGTAGCCTCCAACAAAATTAAAGTTAGCAATTGGGGGAATGAAACAATTTCAAAGAAGTTTATAAGAACAAAGAGTTTCGTAAGAAATGTAAACTTTGATTAATTACAATCGTTCCAATGCTCGCACCAATCAATTAATAAAATGGTTCAACTTTTATTACCAAGCGACTTAATGGTAACTTTGCAGTTGCCGTAAAAGAAAAAGGGAGAACAATTTTTAATTAAACTGTTTACATAAATTAGCATTCATTTTTTTTTTCTTTGTTTCAAGGAACACTTTTTAAGATAAATGTACAAAAAATTCAATTAGTTTAAAATGTTATTTAGTTGAATAAGATAGAATTTAAATTAAGATCTAAATTTCAAATAAATCACTAAGGGAAGTAAATAGACGTGATATCTAGCACGGGAACCGTGGAGTAGCAGCAGTACCTTCAAGATCTGTGCGTCTCTTCCTGGAGTGCACAGTTGCAAAATCTGTAAGGTTTTACAAAAAGTGAAATTTCCAGCCCACTGATGTATAACTGGTACAAACTTTGTTAAGCCAAAATTCCTAGAAGATCATTGTCTTATCTTCCTGAAAACAACCCTAAATGACGAGAGTTGGAACGACAGATACAGACAGTGGCGATAAGCGACGTTTGTCTGAAGAACTTGCAGTTAGAATATCATGGTTAACTGTCTGTACCCAAGGATTATGACTAATAAAGAATAGTTACGCAAGGTGTATGTCTGAACCGGAGCGCTGTACGAGTGCAAAACATGACCCGTGGGCGTAGCAGAAAAGAAAAGGTTAGAAGCGTTCGAAATGTGTTATTACAGGCGAATGATGAAGATACCGTGGATAGAGAAGGTTAGAAATGATGGGGTATTACAAAGAGTAGGAGAACAGAGGACTCCACGGAAGTCAACAAGAAATAGGTTGGTAAAACACCTTCTCAAGCATGAACGACTATTTAGAGACATACCAGAAGCAGAAAATAGAGTTAAGAGAAGTAAAGGTAAAGTAAAATTACTGTTCACAAATAGTTAAATATGTACGATATTCCAATTTTAAGGAAGATTGACTCAGATAGAAGAGAGGAGGTGCGTGTCCAACCAGTCTTAGGACTGACGACTTTATGAAGATGATGAACGCAAGGGTCCGAATGAGCACTGGTGATCGTTCACGTCATCCGTAAAATTTCGACACCTTTATTTAGATATATTTTGACCTATGTAAACAGTACTTTTGGAATTGTTTTCCGTTTACGTTAACACATATAAAGGCCACCTCAAAGTGAGTCGTTCTCACACTATCCTTAATTTTTTTTTAATTTTCAGTTGTTCACTCACTACTTCTACAACTGCTTGAATAGAACACTCTACTGGTACTTACGTGCATACGTATATACAAAAGGAAGGAAGAGTGTTCGTCTTGAATAAAGCAGAACCGACAGTTAAAATGCTTCGTTAGTAAACATCATTAGCGCGCGGAATTCTTCCTTTTGATCCGTGCAGATATAAAAGGCAGCTAACAGTATGCTGAAATCTTTATGCTGTCTTGAAACGATACATTTCAGAAATAATGAGAGCCACAATCCCGCAACATTTGTAGCGGGTGCACCCTAATGAAGGAATTTCACATTTAAATCCAAATGAACTCGATGAGATGTAAGCATGAGAAATAACGAAGAAGAAG